AAATTTAAAAAAAAAAAAAGACTGATGTTAGGCTTAAATGAGAGACCAGTCTGTATGAGACCCAGTATCACAGTATCTTGCAACTATTGATGTCTGGCTCGTGTGATGGTTTGTACTGTGTCAATTGACCTAAGCTGGAATTTAGTTCCCCAAATTTCCCTTCCCATACAATTCGAGTTTAGGATTGGCCACAAGAAAAATTTGTGTAAGAATTGGAAGGCGTAAGTGAAACAGCACTCATTGTGCTTCGGAGATTGATGCAGGATGTTAGGCACAGCTGCAGATCATAGTCTTGTTACTCATCTACTGGCACACTTTGTTGGTTCAGCACAGTAGCCGGCCTGCAACTCCTCCAGCTCCCACCAGATCTCCAATTTCAACTTCTTCAAGCCCTGGTCAAGACACATATGTAGTTCCATGGCAAAAGGCATCAGCTTCTTCATCAAGTTATCTGCACCGCTAAGATGAGAGATAGTTCCATTTTATCCTCATGGGTTCCAGTTGGCCTTTGTGGGTTCTACTTTATCCTCACTTTCCCCCACTTCACTTCAACTTTTCTTCCTCACTGCTAGCCCTGCTGACCTAACAATTTGAGGTTCATTACTAGATACAGAGGCAACAGTCTTCCATGGATTTATTTACCAGCTTCTCCCTGTGGTCCCTGATTAGTGACTTTTCTCTGATCTTCCAATCATTTCCTTTCAGATCCTTTCTTGCCCAGCTTCTCCAACAACTTTGTTTTGTCTAATTCCTACAATAAATTCTGTATTCCCTAATAGTACTGCTTCCCTGATCAAACCATGGTACTGACATTGCTGACATTGTAACAAGAAACTTAAAACATGCCATTAATTTTGGACAGGGCATGGGCAGAAGCTAAAATGGCCTCAAGTGAAAGCTTAAAAGACAATAAGGGAATCATTTTAGGAGATTGGGGGGGAAAACGTGACCTCTGTTAAGCAGTGGTAGATAGTTTGGCAACACTATTGCCTGAGGTAAGGTGCAAAATAAAAAGATTACTTAATGATCTTTTGGTTATGCCTAAGGAGAATTCCTCTGGTAGCATAGTGCCTAAGGCACTTGACTGCTAACCAGAAGGCTGGTGGTTCAAAAGCACCAGCCACTCCTCGGAAGGAAGAT